TACATCGTGAGAAGAGAAGACACTGGAACCGGTTCTTCTTCCTCCTCCTCTTCTTCTTCCACTGACCCTAATTAATAACAAGACATAAAAAGCAAGGATGGTAGCACAAAGCATTACATATCCTTAATTTGGACGTAATCTTCTCTTGCACGTTGCATCTTCCAGCTCCAGGGCAAATCAGATCATGCATGGTCACCTATCGATCGGTGTCGAAGAAGCTCTTGCCTTCGAGCTTCCTCTGCCTCTTCACCCTAGCAATGAAGTCATCCACTCTCTTCTCCAGCTCCTCCTCTCCCTGCTCCTCCCCCTCCTCCTCCTCCTTCTCCTTCTCTCCCTCCCAAACTCCTTCAACCGAGGTGCCATGATCGGTGAACACCACCGTGGTAGCTGTCGCCTTAGCGGTCATCGGTGCGACGCTCCTCTTCACGTACTCCTCGTGGACGTCGTCGACATCCACATCGGAAGCGAGCTGGCTCTTCGGAGATAGCCTAGACTGGGCGATGAGGAAGGCGACGATGAGGTTGCCGACGACGAAGAGGCACTTGGGGCTGAGCAGGAAGGCGGTGGCCAGGTCCGGGAGGGTGGTGAGGATGAAGGAGACGAGGAGAGAGCACAGCCTGGGGAACCAGGCAGCGCTGGTGAGCAGCAGGCAGAGGACGCCACAGGTGGCCACCAGGTAAGGTGCCAGGGCAGGGAGCAGCCGCTGCTGCTTCCTGTTCCTCCTGTACTTCCTCATGGCCCTGATCTTCTCTATGCTGATGGGGTCCATTTCTTTGGACAGCAGTCAAGCTCCTGCAATGGAAAATGTATGCAGCTGAAGAAGCTGGTGCGGAGGCCTGAGGGGGAGGCAGGGTGGTGAAGGGTTTTATATGTGGCTTGAGAGGGGGGCTGGCCATGGAAAGGCAGAAGAGAGGGGCCAACCAACCATGCAGGGACACAGATCTCTATCCTACTGGTGGTAGAGATGCATGATGCTTTTGCACTTTGGGATTTCATAAACAAATGAATGAAATTGGTGTGTTGTGGGTGGGGGCATTTCTCTGTCAGAAAAGATATATGGTGGCTGTCTGCCTTCTCTTGCCCCTCTCTTTTCCTTTCCCTCCCTTGCTCTGCTTTGGGCCCCCTTTGCTCTCTCATGATCCTGATCCCTGGACTTTTGGTGACCTGGATTTATACAACTTTGGATGCCTCCAAAACTCCATGTATTCAAGCTCTTGCTCACTGCAGATGATCTACAGTAACAAGCTGTCACAAAACATGTAGAATTAATCACTTAAATGGACATGGATAAGCTTCACAGGCCACAGCTATGTCATGTACCAATAGTTGGCAAGTATGACCTCTCTGGCAGTTATGAACTCATGGTAGAGGATGGATGATTCACCTTCAGAACCAGTAGTGGCAAGGGTTGCTGAAACTTTCTGCTCATGTGGTATGCATTCTAGAAACTAGACCCTGGTGGTACAGACGTACAGTTGGTGCAAGTGCACATGAAGTTGTTGGTTTGGATTCTCTAGAAGAGGTCCTTGTGTCAGGAGGTCATGTTGCCATGACCAAGTGCTCAACTGTACTTCCAGTCTGGAACTCAAACCCAACAAGTTGGTAATTAGCAACTTTAGTGAATTTGCTATGAAAGCAGACGATCGTACCGAGTCGCATAAATAGTACCAAGTTGCGTAGTAAACTCTGACCGAAAGGGATCATCATGTGATAAAAGGGCAATGGCTTTCAATTAACTGGTGGCCTAAAGAAACAAAAGACCGGTTAAGCAAGAAGCCAAGATTAATACACAACAGTCTACGACGCTAAAAAGTTTCTACCCGAATATGTTTGCACTAGGACCATCTGAATCATATAGTAGCCTTTCAGTAACCATGTTCCATGTTTTCCTCTAGTAAACTAATGCAACACGGGGGTTCAAGTTAGATCCTGAGATCTTGTGTTTCTATATCAAATCAAAGGTAAACTGAGGAGGTGAGGATTAAGAACTGTATACTCTCCTAATTTCATAGAAAGGATGTCCTCTATCTATGACCGTCGCATCGTTCGAACACGGAACATCCAACACAAACTTGGCGTCTTATACCAAAACAGTCTGCAAGTTGCAACTACCGCTTGCGTCAAATAACCGAAGACTTGATGGCTAAGGAAAGATGGGGTTAGGCTCACTTCAGTCCAGTCCAACAAACACTAGTGCAGTGCAGTAGTGCCCATTATCTCCTTCCCCCAAGGACCCAGCTTCTCTCTTTAACAAGACTGGTGAGGTGCCTGTTAATTGAGTGCAAGTGTGCCAGTGTGACTGATCAGTCTTGACTCTTGGGCATTGGGCAAGCCACCAAGTAGGCACCACAAAGGTGTTTGTTTGTCCCTGCAATTTGCCTGTCATGGCAATATGCCATGCATTGCAAGACAGGAATGGTTCTGGAATTATGGTCTCCACACCAGCAAAATGCGCTTTACTCTCATAATTGAGCAGATGAAAGGAGCCCAATGCTTGACAAAAGATTATTATTAGCAGTTGGTGGATCCATATTAGCTTTACTATTATGTGGTGTGGAGTGTGGAGTCTGTGTGAAAAGGAAGAACTTGAGGTAAGCATGGCTGCATGGGTGATGGCTGGATGATTCCATTGGTGCCCTCCTACCCTGAAACACAAAGTTCTCTCTTGAAGTCCATTCATGGGGTGAAGGTTGGAAGTGCTTTCTTGGTTATTAGCTTTGCCCGCTCTCTTTAGATGAACAAGGCTCTTTCAACAATGCAGAGAAGTTCCATTCCCCAATTAGAAGATCCTTGAGATCTCACGAGCTTCAGACGCAGGATCTGCACCTAACAGATGATTCTTCAAGTGCTTTAGCTATTGGTGCAAGGCTGCAAGCCCGTATCTACACTTTGTTATATACATTATCTAGGGGGACTAAGGTAGTTACAAGAAAATAGACAGGGGCACATCAAGGAATTCTTCATCTCATTCCTTATTTGTAGTTTTACACTAAAATCCAGTGTTAAGCAGCTCTATACAGCAAACAAATGGAATTATGCAAATGGGATTCTTGCAAAAAATATGTATGGGTTTTAGTTTTTATGCCCACTATGTATTACTGTCAGCAAGAAATGACTGAAATTAATTCAATAAAGTTGCATCGAGCAGGTCAACACTGTCTTCTACACCGTGAACAGACAACCATTTTCATGAATTTGGTTTACAGAATCATAGTAGAAAAACTCATGCTTGCCAGGTCAATTCTGATATTTATGAGAAAAAATATATGGATAATACGCTTAGATCTCAGTAATAATCTACTCAACAAAGTAGATCACGCAAAATCACTGATGGATATGCATTCTAGAAATCAACCATCATGAAAAGAACATTTGAAAGGTCCTAGAAATGTGACAAGAGATAAAGAGATGGCACCAAGGGCTCGGTGAATCTGCAGTACAGCCATTTCAGACACTGCACATGCTTAACTCATCTAAAGTTATTGGTTTCCTAAGGTTATTGACCCAATGTATGGCAACAGATCATATTGTTGCATTACTTTAATGAACTTTGATGCCAAGGGTGAGGGTAATGAAGCAGTATTTATTCTGCAAGTTGCATCATTATCATCGGCATATGTAACTGGGAAAACAAACTGTGACTTAAAATGTGTCAGATGGCTCCCAATACTGTGTTAATAGGCCCTGTCAGCATGGTAATCTTTGGGTGTCAAAAGAGACCACGACACATGATTTTAGACTTATTGGTACCATGCAATGCCAATACTGATTCCTTTTCAAGATTCCACACGCGAGAAGCATATGGGGACACTGAAAGAGCAAAAAGATCCAGTAATTGACATACTTTGTGTCCCTCTCCATCATCCAACTTGCACAAAGCTTGTCGAAAAACATGGTGGGCTCTCAATAATGCTTGTCTTGGCACCATCGTTCACCATTGCTGCTAGCTCCTGGGTTATAGGATGGCACAGAGAAGAGAGAGTAAACAAGGATCATGCTTCTTGATTCCATTGCCCTTTCCTTTTCTTTGTGTTGTTTCTTTGATGAAGACTTGTGGCCTTAGAGTCGAGAAGGCAACAAAAGGGTCCCATCTACCCTTTGGTAGGCCAATTTTATTTGACAAAAAGCCCACCTGAGCTCTATCATGCCCCTCCATGCTTTGCTTGAGCATGGCTGATAGACTAAACCATGAGACACAAAAGAGGGGCCAAAACACTATAGAAATGCCCCTTTCTATATTTCTTGTTGGGCAGATAATCAGCACCTAATCCATAAGGTTCCATAAAACAAAACCTAAACTTCCTTGTTTTATCTCTAATAATTAGGTGTGTGGCGTATTTGCTGCCCTATGAGACACAAAAGAGAGGCCAAAATACTAAAGAAATGCACCCTTACTATATTTCTTTGTTGGATAGATAATTAACACCTAATCCATAAGGTTCCATAAAACAAAACCTAAACTTCCTTGTTTTCTCTCTAATACTTAGCAGAACTAGTGTCTGCTACTACTATTTTTGCCTTTTTGTTTTCACCAAATGTAATGTTACCATCTCTAAATATTGACAAATCAATTTACTTTATCAGAAATTTATGTTTCTCAAGGTAGCCATAATAGACATAAATGCAGGGAATCTGGTTGTCTTGCATGCACCAACTAGACTAAAACCGTTTAGATCCCTACACACCAAAAGAAACTTTTCTGCAAAGGGAGCCTCTGGAAAGTCACTCCTAATACGACCTTAACCAGATAACACACCCCAGTAATGATTGTTTGGATTCATTGGCACCATCACAATATTACGTGGAGTTTGTGGGAAGTTGGCCTACCTGTTCCCGGAAGTGTAATATCCCGAAAACACAATATAGACAGGACACAGCTAAAATTTAAAATGAAGCTGGAGTGCTGAACTTGCATTCATCTTGCAGTTGATGATTTACATTTGAGAAAGATTTGTCAAGCATGGATTTTGTAAAAAGAGAAATACATTACAGTAAACCTATCAGCAGTCTGCATTGACCTCAACACTTGCATCTGCAGCTGCCAATACCAATTCTGGTTCATAAGTTCCCTCTGCTCTGGCCTTCAAGCGTTCGCGCTGCAAGCGGAAGTTCTCTCTCTTCCTTGCTCTGTAACTGTTTGGGTTCTCAGGCTGTTTCTCATATGGGTAGACGCTTACCTGTAAAAGAAAATAACAGCATATTCATATATCTGGTATTCCGCTGAAACCCAACTAGATCCAGTAACTAGTGACTCTGACCTTTTTCCTGTCCGGTCCATATTTCTCAAACTTGACAAGTCCATCAATCAAGGAAAAGAGGGTGTGATCCTTGCCCATTCCAACATTATTTCCAGGATAAACCTGAAAAGTTCAGCATACATGCAAATAAGAAAACGCAAAACATGGAGACACGTTTGGTTGCGGCTTATAAAATGTGCACTTTTCGTACACCAATGTGAACCTACTTTATGAATAGTGCATGGTCTCAAAAGACCGAAAGTCATGTTAAACTCACGGTTCAGGTAAATAGCACAAAAGTTGGGAAGGAAATTGCATTTGCACACTGAATGATCACTCAGAACAGATAAAATTACTATGTACACAGAAAGTATTCCCTTTTTTTCTGCCCTTGCAGAATTTAGACTTGGTAGATATCAGTGCCCATTGCTTCTGAAGAGTGTAGTAATTCCTTTTTCTAGAAAGTGGAAGCTTTATTGCCCCGGCTCTGCATCGATGATGCATAAAGCCAATTTATTACAGGAGTACTATGCGCTCCGAAAGTACTATTGTCTGCCCTTTCAGAATTTAGACTTGGTGGATATCGGTACCCACGGCTTCTGAAAGAGCATAACTAGAGGCCACCATACTTGCAAGCTTGTACTACATGTGGCCATGTAAAGAGTGACATACTCCCTCCGATCGGAAGAAAGTGTCCCAGCTTGAGCGGAGGGAGTAGCAATTAAAGTCTCTTTACAACATGGTCATCGCCATGGTTTTATCTAAACGAATGAATAGTCATGCCACTCACAACATGGTCATTGCCAATTTACCACCACATAGTCATGCACTCATGCCATTCACAAGTACTCCCTCCGTTCCAAAATAGATGGCTCAACTTTGTACTAACTTAACAAAGTTGAGTCATCTATTTTGGAACGGAGGGAGTATGAAGTAAGCATTCAACCAAGATAACATGAATATAGCAGCTTCTAAGCTGCTACCTGCAAAATGATTAGCTGACTAGTGACTACAGATCACAGGTGCGAGTTCCTTTTGAAATGAATGGATGATGCTTGCAGTAGTATACAGCTAAAACAGGGACCAAACATTATACTCTGAACAAGTAGGTTCGTACTTTTGTCTGACAGAAAAAACTGAAAATGTGGACAATGCCAGAGCCAGCAGGAACCGCTGAGCGCCGCAACGACGATGACAAGCACACCTAATCTAAGCCCTGTCATTCCCTGACCTGTAGTATACACAGTCTTGCCTCACCACAATCCAATCTCCACAAATCCCCTAGCACTGAAAATCAATTTCGTATCCCGAAGTACTAGTACCGCACAGTATTTAGTTTTTAGTTATGTACACTAGCATTTCACCGGAATTCCCCATTGTGCACCAGTCAGAAGCGCCTTACTCACTGACAGGAGCCGAGAGCAAGCGGGAGGGAGAATGGACGGGGCGTACAGACAGACAGGAGCAGAGAGGGAGACCTTGGTGCCGCGCTGGCGGATGATGATGGCGCCGGGCTTGGCGAGCTGGTCGCCGTAAATCTTGACCCCGAGGCGCTGGCCCTTGGAGTCCCTGCCGTTCTTGGTGCTTCCGGCCCCCTTCTTGTGCGCCATCTGGATGGTCAGCCCGCGCGCCGGCAGCGTCGCCACGCCCACGCCCCCGGTGGTGCCGCCGGGGAGCGCGGCGCGGTCGCCGCGGAGGAAGGAGGAGGAGGACGCGAGGGACAGGCCCTTGAAGGCTCCCACCAGCGTGAACGCCATTTCTGTCGCTCGGAGAAACGCAGCAGCAGCAAGCCAGCAACGGCAGCAGACACTCTGCGCAGGGGAAAGAAGATGAGGTGATAAGGGTGGGGTCGTGGGCCGTCAGTGGGCTGAATGTACTGGGCTGCACGCTAGGTTTGAGCCTGGTGTGAAGAGCGCTGCGCGCGCAGCTGCAACCCAGCAGGCCCTGGCCAGCAAGACCGAGTCTGTCCCCAAGCGCGCACGTCAGCAATGACGCCAGCCCTTGATCCCACCCGTCATTGAACCATACCCCCTCTCCCGCTGACGCCCGGACCGGCATGTCATCCCCGACCCCGAGCCGGTGTCCACCTCCATGGCGGAGTCCGGCCCGAGCACCGCCTCGCCGTGTAGCCCCGCGCCGCCTCTCGATCCCTGCATGAATGGAGGCGCTCCACCGCACCTCGACCCGAGTCCGCAGCCCTCGAAACCCTTCGAATCCGAGCTCCAATTTCTTGCGGTGCCGCTGCCGCCGCCACCGCCACAGCTCCGGCCGAGCCCAGCCGACGCCAGAGATCACCACTGCCGTTTCCAAGGAGAGCAACGGAACCGCCGGTCAAGCCGAACCTCTCGAATCCGAGCTCCAAATCGAGCTGGAGTACTCGTCGGCGCCGCCACAGCTTCGACAGAGCCCAGCCGACGCCAGAGAACACCACCGACGTCTCCCAAGATAGAAACGGAATCGCCGACTCAAGGCAAATCTCTTGGACGCCTTCCCGAGGAGCAAGGATCACCGGAGCCAGCTCAGCGGCAAGCCCCAAAGCCGCCGGCGCCGCCTGAACGCATCTGAACCAATAGGTATGCAATCTGGACCGCCCGATCCAACCTAAATCCTGCTTCTTGGTCAACCGGTGGCGCTTCTTCAAGTCTAGTGTAGCAGCTTCAGGTGGGCCAAGGAAGTTGTATGTTGGAAATCCAGCTCCAACTGAGACCGGCATGCTCCCCACATTGCAAAACAGACTCTGCTTTTTTGTGCAGGGTGATGCTGTAGAATAAGTTTCTTGTCACAAATATACCTGGCCATGGAAAGCCCGGCCCGGCCGGCCCGGCCCGAAAAAGCCCGACGCTGCCCCTAGGCCGGGCTCGGGCCTAGATTTTGAGCCCGAAGGCTGGGCCGGGCCGGGCTCGGGCCCGTCGTTTTTGCATTTCTCTGAAGGTCGGGTCGGGCCGGCCCGAAGCCCGACGGGATTTTACGTGTTCGGGCCGGGCTCGGGCCCAGAAAACAGGCCCGATGGCCGGGCCGGGCCAGGCTCGGGCCTGGGTTTTTTTCGTCGGGCTTGGCTAGGCCCGGCCCGGCCCGAGGTATGGCCAGGTATAGTCACAAAATGGAAGACTTTTTGTTTTACCAAGCTAGTGTAGCAGCTTCAGGTGGGGCAAGGAAGTTGTATGTTGGAAATTCAGCTCCAGTTGAGACTGACATGCTCCCCGAATTGCAAAAAAGACGGTGCTTTTCTGTGCAGGGTGATACTGTAGAATAAGTTTCTTGTCACAAAATGGATGGCATTTTGTTTTACCAAGATTGTATTTCAAACCTTTCCCTTTATTAATGTTAATCATACTATTTAGGCCCCGTTCCAAAGCTCGCTGGCTTCCGAAATGAGCCGTTCGGCAGTGCACCAGGGCAGCTTCTCGTCTCCGTGATTTTTGCACTGCCGAATCCTCGTCTCCGCGGAGCCAGATTCTCGAAGTGGAGCCGTTTGGTGTGGCTTCTCGGAGTGATTTTCGTAAGCCAGCTCGTGGACTGCTTCCGAACGGGCCCTTACTAAGATTCGTAGTAGTAGAGCAGAGGAGTGGAACATTACGTTTTTAATCTAGTTGATTCAGGGAAGATAGGCGATTCTTAATTCTGTGTGATCTCTTAATTTGTGTGCCACTTGTAGTTGTGTGCTAGTCTGGTGTTTGATGTTCCTTCAATAGTGATTGTCATATATACACGAGGCTGTTTTATTTTACTTATTTTCAAAAGCTCATTACAGTTGTTGTATAATGGTTTTTTTTACTGAGAAGAAAATGATTGCTGCTATCTATAGGTTTTGCATTTCAGATTGCTTGATAACTCTCTAGAACTGTATGTGCCAGGAATCTCTGAACCTTCATTTAACACATTGACTTCTCACATAAAAAAGTACTGATAACTGATTTTACTTTCATACTTGTAGATCAAAACGTTCCACATATATGTTGTTGAGAAAGTTGCACAGCATCTTGGTATGGATGATCCTTCAAAACTTCGCCTTACAAAGCACATCCCGCATTTACAGCAACCAGGTCAGGCACCTTTTTTTAATGTTTTCCTATTTATTTACTACTACATTGCATGGGAGTATTGATCATCTTGAGCTTCCTTTTTACTTGCAGATGTCTGACATTTTTTATTATGAGACACTGACATTCCTTTGCCAGAACTGCAAGGTCCGATAACATTGAGTTGCTTTTCACCAAGCTACACACAATGAGGTTGTTTGCACCAAATTTTGTGCTTGCTGCCGCTTTTGTGTCTATAAACATGTCCTGCAATAACCTTTGTTTATCAGGCGCTGTTTCACATTATATGATTGCCAAAAGGCAGTACGTTTTCTGATTTGATTGGCAACTTAAAATCAAAGTTGAATTCACTGTAAATACTGTTAGGGTTTTTTTATTTTTCTGAAAGGGTTTTTTATGTTCTGCCAATTTGATCTTGAATTTTTCAATTTTTCCTTTTCTTAGGTTGAGTTATCACAAGGTGATGCTGGACTTAGCTATTTCAGGTCAACAATAACAAGATATGGAAGGTACTTGTTATCTCTGTTGTGGCATGGAAGTTGTAGTTCCTCTAGAATAGATTTTTACTATTGAAATCTTGGTTCGGAAACAATAGATTGTATTATCACGGAAGTCAACTTGTACCATGATGCATGTCTTTAGTTTAGTAGGTTGCAGTGGCTAGAATATGGTACACCCTTATAAATGAATGCAATGAGACTGCTGATGGCAGTATGTTGGCAGGAATTAGGAAGGCAGTGCACTAGTCCTTGCCTGGGTGGTACTACCCCATGATGGGGCTACAAACCCCACTTATTTTGCAGTCCGTGTAATAAAAATGAATTAAATATTAATTGTAACCATGGATATCCATCTGTAAAATATGTGGTTTTGGCTATCTGCAAGGAAAGTACAAATTATCTTATCATGGTTCGTGATTTCATTAAACTTCTTCAAAGTTCCGTCTCTCTTTATGAATCCAGTTTTCATTAAGATGATGCACATACTTCACAATAATCCGGTTGACCTATGTATGCATTATCATTCATTGCCTTATTTTTCAGGTGTACCAGCCAACTGAGAAAATAGATGCAGTTCATGATCCAAACCTCTTTATGTTGAGGAGGTATGCAACATTAACACAAATACTGTTTACATTCTCCTAGAAGCTTTAAAGGCTTAACCTCGGGCCATTTACTCCTATTACAACTCCATTCCTTATTTTCTTGCTTGGTTTGATAACGGAGTGACATGGTCCATGTCCATCTCATGCATTATAAGCACTTCATGTAATTACCCATTCCTCAAATACGCTAGTCATCGTCTCCTTTTCCGTATTTCTCTTAGTCTCACTCCCAAACACTTCACGATCCGACAGAGGGAATACCAACAACCATGGCATTGTCCCCTTCGGTCGTTCATGCCACTTGAGAGGATGAAGGCTCATGTGAAAGGCATCGGCACTGGCGAGTTTGCCACCATCCTAGCCACGACGACAATGCCGTTGAGTATATAGTGGAGGGTAGAGTAGCAAAGTGGAGCAATGACGCTGCGGGAGGAGGTGCACTCGAACAGGGGCACTGTAGTCTGTTTCTTCTTCCGGGCGAGTGACTGGCATATAGACAAGACTCCCAACAAAATGTCGATAAAGCATTGGATCAGACAATGGGTCAACATCATTAGCAGGGAGGTGAACATCAAGCTCCATGGGAGTCTCAAGAGTGCGCTCATCAGTAAGAGCAGCACGAGTAAGAAGATCATGGATTATTTTTTAGCAAGAAGGGACCTCAATCCCAAGAATTTAGCGAGGAGGGCCAAGATAAGACTTAAGAAATTGGTAGCTAAGACGTGCCTACACAAAGGTAATATACTCACGGTCTTCGCCTGGTGATGATCATGTCATCAACATATAGAAGAAGAGTCCTACCAAGAGCAGAAAAGTGGACAAACAACGTAGGATCACGAGCACTTGTTGAAACCAGCGGCAACCACCATAGAGGCAAAATGCTCAAACCAGGCGCGAGGGGATTGCTTAAAGCTATAGGGAGAGGGATGAAGATGACAAAGCATGTCGTCAGGAGCAGAATACCCAGGTGGTTGCTGCATGTAAACCTCCTCATGCAGCTCACCATTAAGAAAGGCTTTCTTAATAACAAGTCGATACACAGACCAATGGAGGCATTCTTAACATCAAGCTGGGACATAGACTAGTGGCGAACAGAGGCCACAATAAGAAGTGTGCGACAATGGTCAGACGGTTTGCGAGAGAAAAAGTCTCATTGTAATCAGGACCATGCTCTTTCTGAAAGCCATGAGCCACAAGACGAACTTTGTAAGGCTCAAGAGAACCATCAGAGTGAGTCTTAAACTTGTAGACCCACCAAGTGATGGGACGAACACGAGGAGGAGCAAAAACAATACCCCCCGTGCCGATGCGCTCAAGAGCAGCAGTCTCCTCTGCCATCGCAATATGCCATCTGGTTTGAACAACATCACTATAAGAAGTCGGCTCAAGAACAACAACGCCAACACTTGGAAGACCAAGGTGGTTAACAGGCCAAAGCGTTAGAATATGCAAGCCATAAGTAGGCGGAGACGGGGAACATGGCACATCAGTAGACGCATCCACAACACGCAGATGTCGTGTATATAAGACATAAGTTAGGAAAAAAGATGAAAGAGTATGAGTAGGAATGATCGGAATAAACTCAGGTGATGGAGGCAAGGAAGCCACAAGG